TACCTATGGATATATAAATTGAATTTATGAATTCTTTTCAAAACTACGAAACCCTTCGTGTTTGTGTGTGTAGAAGTAGCAGTGATAATGAAGTTAATATTTTAGCAGTGATAAGATAAAAAAAAACAAAGATCTGACAACTATAATTTTCTTATTTAGACTTTCATATCTCTAGGCATAGCATATTGTAAAAGCGCTGGGGTTCCATAGGGGATGTAGGCTTCTTTCACTAGAGTTTTGTCAGTGTGCCGTCGGATTTGGAAGATGTTCAGTAATCGGATGCTATCGAATAAAATGAATTCAATAGGCAACATTTCTCTCAAGGCCGTTCCCTACTTTACTTTGATAGGCTTCATATTCATTTAGAATGGGGTTGCTTTTCAGTTCTAATTATCTGCCTTCTATGGTGGTTTTGATTTTATTTGCGAGCCGAGTAATTACCAATGATGATCTGATTCCTATTGATGCTCGTTGTTCAGGCTGGTATCAGCGCATTAATTCGGTTCTCTTGTTAGCTTTTAGAAAGTTGTTGTTGATAGTGAGAAGACTTCGAATCATCGACACAAGTTTTTAGCTAATTATGTTGATATATATGATTACATCTTACCTTGCACTTACAGCTGCAAACGAATCAAGCTTCCTCGATCACTTGCTTGACTCGAGATCCACTTGAGCTCGACCCTCTCAAATACAAATAAAATCACCTAAAGATCCCTAGACATTTTTTAATTGAAATTTCGAGCCGAACTTGAGTGAAAGTCGAGCCTTTTTTTGTTACTTTTTTTTTCTAAAGCGATACGCGACTCTGTTTGGCTTGTTTGTTGCCCTGCTTATATACCTTCAAAAGCTATCAGTTGAGCCCATCAGGCGTTCCTCAACCACACTTGACAACATTCCATCACATCTCAACTACAATGTTTCAGATGAGCTAAATGAATGCAGATAATGCAATCCCATGAGTTGATTAATAAGCAACTGATGATTTAAAGCCCAAACACTTGAACATGCCAACGATATTTGGAAGTTCAACCAAATTCGCGAAAACCCACTCATCTTACTCAACAAACTCTCTCTCAAGACAAATTTAATGCCATGGCTACAAAAACATAACTGGGATTCTGTGATTATGGTAAAACTTGATGTATGCTATAGACACAAAGATGAATTTTAAACAACGTTTACAGATTTCATGACCAGAAATGTACTTATTCATTCATTCATACAAATCGAAACACAGAAAAGCATAGGTTAAGCATTCTTCGCGCCATATCGACAGATTTAATAAACCGCAATCCGTCTAAAGTTGGAATTTTCTTTACTAAAGCATACCTTTCATTTTTTATTTTATTTTTTTTCAAATTTCTAATTGATTTGGACGGTGCCAACAATAGGGTACTTAGCCTGGAATTTCTTCTCCCAATCGTCCAGCACGCCGATTTCCTTCTCCGTGAGGCCGTAGAGGTTGGGGACGACGTCGCTTTCGTCCTTGCTCATCTTGGCGAGCGCGCGGCTGGCGTCCTTGCCGGCGAAGACGCAGTACGCGCCGCCGGGGCCGTAGAAGGACTTGCCGGCGGTTACGTCGTAAATCTGGCCGCGGACTGCCACATAGATCGGCTTCGATGGGTCGGTGCCGTCGTAGTTTTTCAGCTGCTGTGGAGTGAGCTCCATTGATTGCTCGATTTGTTGGTGTAGTTTGTGTTTGGAGCTTTGAGATTCGGATAGGATTTGTGTGTAGGGATATGTACGGATAGGATTTTTTATTTATATATTGGGAGATTGAATATGTGAAATTTTTTATTGATGAATAATATATGTTGAATAGTTAATAATTTTAATATTAAAGTTATGTAATATAGAGAGATAATTAATTTTGATGTGATAGACAAATAATGGAAATATCAAATTTTATAGATAAATGTGTATTTTTTTAATTTCAAATTTGTATAGAAAGATGTAATAGAGGGAAAAGAATTAATAAATAGATGACATATCTTTTTTATTGATATATTCGATACCTTTTTCATTTCTTTCAACTTTTCTTGTTAATATGATTATTTTGATGCAGAGCCAAACCATGAAAAAAATATTTTTCAGAGAATCTCAAAACCATACATACAATTATTTATGTTCAGTGTCATACCGTGAATAATTTATTTTAAGTTCTATTTCTATTCAGTGTCGTAGTTTGAATAATTAATTATTCAGTTCCATTTTCAAACTCTAAATTAATGAGCACAAATATTCATTAATGGGGTATGTTTAATAAATACAAGTACACACAAGCAAAACATACTATGACTTTTTGAGTGAACAAATCAAAAAAAGAAAAAAAGAAAAATCAAAAAGGCAAACAAGCCATGAAAATTCATTAAAATCATCTGAATAACATAAACTCAAAACTAACAATTTCCCCTGTTCAAAAGTCACTATAAACAATCCATAACAATGCTACATTTAGAATTTAAAAAACGTTCATAAACCGAAAACCGAACAATTCATAATATTAATGCAACCTTCGGCTGGACAGAAGCTAGTAAAGTGGGATACCTCCACCAGAATACTCCACATCCTGTAAAATGAAATATCTTTTAAGAAGCATTATAATAACACTAATAGTTTAGGATAAATTTGTCATGAATTGGCTGTGTTGTCTTGGATAACCAGAATTACCAAAAGAAAATTGATTTGAAAAATATAATCAGCATTAAGGTTTGATTCGGGTATAAATTATATCACATATAGCCACAAGTTTTTTCGTTTGGCTATTAGAAACATTTGGAAAGGTGTAGGCAAAACTGCAGAATGCAAGATGAAAATTTTGGGTTACATGTAATGTTTCAAAATGATTTTCCCAAAAAAATCAAAAGAATATACGAGCCAGATTTATCACGGTTTATCATTTTCCAGTGTTTCAGCAGTAATACAGCCACGGTCTACTGAATATTCGATTGTTGATATCAAGCCCCAAGATTTCACTTAAAACAATGCAAACTTAGTTCTCATTTTCATTTCTCACGGTATCTCTTTTGAGTTCAAGTTAAATTCATCAAATTACATAATTATTGCAGAATGTAAAATTCATGTATCAAAATAAACGAAATTTTCGGGAGCATAAAAAACCTGTGGGGGAGGCAAGGAAGAAACCCAATCGGATACATGTGTTGGAAGAAGACCCAGCGTGTTAAGCTGTACACAGCATAAATAAATTAAAAAGAAATTAAGAAAATCGGTACCCGTGCATAATAAATGCTTCACAAAAGGTTCTGCAAGTACTTTTTATATAGGTCAGAGAACAAACCTTCCACACACCGAGACCTAATCCCACCAAATTAAGGGCGATAAATACTAATTTAGGCGCCATTAGATCAACCTTGTTGTCCTTGTATGGCTCGAAAACTACACACAATGCAAACGGTCAGCAGTTTTTAACAGTTACAAATAATAAGCAAAGGTGGAAAATTCCAATAGTGATGAAAATCAATGTTTTTAACATTACAAACCAATTAATCAAGCAGATGGTGAGTGACAGATTAAGACTGTGTTTGTTAAGCATATAATTTAGTTTATAGCTTATTTAGTTAGCTTATAAGCTTCCAGGATTCAAATAAGCTTTGTTTGGTAAGACGAGCTTTTTTAAAAAGCTCGAGTTTATCTCATAAGCTTCCTTGGGTAGCTTTTCAAATAAGCCCATTGAATTTTTTGTATCAGCTAGCTTATCAACTAACTCTACCAAACACTTTTATCATATAAGCTAGTTTTTTAGCCATAAGTCATAAGCTATCTATCAGCTATAAGCTCGATATTCGCTTAAAAGCTATAAGCTAGCTTATTAGCTAGGTTTATCATTATGTCATAATGAAGCTAAAATAAAAGAAGGTAACAACCATTAAGTTATTCTTGGCAATACCAACACATTGCAGATATTTCTATATGGTGTTCTTGAATTACAAGCGCACATTTAGAGTCACATTAAAGAACCAGAAAATCGTTAAATAATTTCATTACACTTACCAACTGTGAAAGGCCCAGCAACTGACAATACATAACATAAATTGGCCAAGAGCATATATTGAAATTGAAGCTCACCTTTCCCTACCCCTCGAAGGGCATTAATAGGCTGCAAAAGAGCCGAAAATGTTATGCCGATGCTAAATAGATGAACCGTGCTTCCAGCCATCCACATCATGAATGCCATCATGAACAGATTCTTAAAGGGCGCTTGTGCAACTTCCCATGCTTTCTGCTCATACAAATGAATACAATTGTAAGAACACAAAATCCATCAAGACTCAAGAATTTAAGCAGGATTTAATAAGAAATCCACTGTAGAAAACTTCCAAGACTGAAAACTGAAGCACCAGCTACTGGAGATACTTAAAACTCACACTAGCATATTTAGTTGCCACCAAGTCGAACCTTTAAGAGAAAATATATAAAAGAAAAAAATAAAATTTATTCTACAAATCTATTACCTTGGATTACAACGATGAAAATGCATAGAAAGAATAAAATGTGTAGAACCTTAAGCACAAAGTTGCACCGTCAGAAAATTTATCTTTTTTCCTTAGAGTTCTCCTATAATTCAAGAGAATATCATCAAGACATAAGACTTCAACTACTGATATTTAAACTTTAAGTGGCCGGGACAGAAACTAAATCGTTCGAGGACCAAAAGGCAGAAAGGAAATTTCAACTCTTCTGATTCATCTCAATTCTCTTTTCAACATGACCCATAGACATGAATTCAACATCGACCAGATCCCTTTCACACAAAACCCGTTTCATGTTAAGCTACTAGCAAGCAAAGAACTCCACCCGTTGCAAACTAAATCGTTCGAAGAAAAAAATGGAAACGAAATTCAACTCTATTGATCAATCCCAATCTTCTTTCCAACATGAACTCAACATCAACTAGATCCCTTACACAAAAACTTCCAACAGAACCCAATTCATCTTAAGCTACTAGGAAGCAAAGAACTTCACCTGGGCTTTCCAATTGGCCTCAGCGTCCTTCTTCTGTTTGCTCACAGCTGCATCATCCTAACTCGAAAAGGGGGGCAAATAACAACACTTAATCATGTCTAGAGACCGAGAAAAAAGAACCCACCAAACAAGGAATCCTGTGGAACAATTCACACACACACACACACACCTGTTCTTGGGAAGCGCGAGTGAATCCCGGCGGATCAAGAATATCACGCGATGAATGCGAAGTTGAGTTGTTCGTGAAATCCACAGCCCACCGGCGGCCGGAGCCCACCACCGCTTTGCCCTTGTCCATAATTCTCTTTTCCTGAAAGTATATTGAAAATTGAGACCGGCGCACAAATACTGCGTCTGATGATTCAGATTTCAATAGACGGAGATTTTCACAAGAGGAACCTTGTTACCGGTTAGGGGTCGTTTGGCTGTGTCAATTTTCGGATAGGAATTTAAAATCCAATGTCGTGGAAAAGATTGTTTTAATAAAATCTCTCAATTTAGATTCAAACTAAAAATACTACATAAGGGTATGTAGGTTCTGTTTTTTCTTTTGTTATTATTCACAATACTTAACCCAATTACTACTACAATCAAACAAAATGAAACTCAAATCATTGTGACTTTTGTAATTAGCACTTGTGGGGTAATTAATAAAACCATGACATAATTAGAATTTGATTTTTATATCACTCAAGTTAAAAATATTGGTGTTTTCTTCATATTAGATATGAAATCGAGTCATGTCGAGTGAAGACTATAAATACTTGAATTTGAGCTTTTAACAATTCGAGTCAAACTCTAATAAATTGAATTTGAGTCATAACGATCTTAATATAAAAGAATCATAACGAGCTCAGTTCGTTACTGACCAACATTTTAAACGAGCTGAATCTTAACGAGTCTGAGTTGAGCTCATTCCATGACCAATACGTTTGGTTAGTATAAAATAAAACAAACACAAATGAGGTAAAGGAAAAGGAGAAAATAAATAAAAGAATTTAGAGGCACATAACATAACATTACATATAAAATCGTGTTTCTTGTGGTACAAATATAAAATCGCTATTGAATGTCCCACAAAGCGTCATTCTTTTGCTCTTCCGAAAATCTCTCGCTGAGGACACAGTCGCGCAAACGCAGAGAACACGGCCGACTGCCATGGCGGATGAAGAGGACGAGAGGGTTTTGGAACAGCAGCTTCATTTTCAGCTCAACGAACAGAAGGAATCTCTCGCCGCCGTCATCGACGCCCTCGCCGCCGACGCCTCGAATCCCGAGCTTCTTTCGGTACCCTCCTTCGATCTGTACCTAATACATATGCTTATATGCTCACCTACTCTGTGTGTGTTTGTATGTTTGTGTTACACTTAGCTGTTATGATTTCAAGATCGTCTTTTTTTTTTTTAATTAGCTTTGTTATGAAATTTGACAAATTGTTTGTGGGTTTGACAGTATAAGTTATTTTTTGGATTGCTTGTTGGTTAACCCAATGTTTGTTTGTTTCTCTTTTCTTTTCTGTACTCAATGGAAAATGTGAAATAAAGTCTATTTCAACTTATTTTGTGTGATAATGTAATGTTGCTTGCTATGTTTGCTGTTTGACTTGATTTAGGATTTTAATCCCATTATAAACCTAGATTTTTTTTCTCATTCCAATTTGTGCTTACAATGGATTAACTATTTACGTGATCGATCTTCTGTTTCCAAAAGGACTTTTGTTTTCAGTGCGTGTTCTCTAATGCATAATCATTTCTAAGGTTTATTCATAATCAAGTTTCCTGCAAGCTTATGTTTGGGATAGTTATATAAAAATGGCCCTTTGGGATGCATAAACTCTGCATATTGAGATGATAATCCTTATGGGCAAGAAAAGAGATATTATAGTGTTTAGTGTTTTATTAGACGTGAAGAACATCTTCATAACTAGCTCAACAACTATATACTTTGGATCTCTCGACGACTTTGCAACTTGCGTGCTGTTGTTTTTTTGTGTTTTTTCCAAAACGATTGGAGTGGTTGAATGTTATGCGTTGATAGTTCGTTTTGACCCTTAAAACACCCTTCAAATTGATTTGTCCACATTCTTCGCAGATTCATTTAGAGCTTGTTCAGTCCATCAAAGAAGCTGAGGAGGGCCTTTTCCATCTGAAAAAGGCAAGATTGCTCCGGGAGGCTGATTCCGTTTTGGAAGGCTCAGTTAGCGTTGATGTCAAACCGGAGCCTTGTGACCCAATGAACGCTGAAGCTGAACCATTGGCGAATGAAAGCTTTTCCGTTGGGTCGAAATGTAGATTCCGTCATACCAATGGACGGTGGTATGATGGGCAAGTTGTTGGTCTGGAAGGTTCCGAATCTGCAAAGATATCTTTCCTTACTCCAACATCTGAAAGCATGTTGGTGGGTTAACTACTTCTTGATTCTTATGTGCTGTTTTCATTCACTTTTCTCGGTCGATGGTTTTAGACTGGTTCAGTAGAGGGAGAGTTTTGATATTTGATTACATGATAATTTTGATTAAATATATTACATATGCTTAACTAGGAGGAATGAGAACTCTTTGAAAATAGTTTTCGCTTAATTATGTGTCCAGGTATGAAGACTGGCCCATCTTTTTTCTTTTCTTTCTCTTAGGTGAAGTTCTGGTCAGCTTCCTTCAAATCGTTCAAAATAATAGTACTATTTTCGTTCTCTATCTATAAGCAACGAGACATGCAAATTAAATATTATTGCAGTTTTGACAATAAGAAGAACTTTTCTTGAGCTTAGACTTTAATATGAAAATTGATACCAAGATATTAATTTTCCTGCTCTATTCTGATACTACTGTTAACCCACCCTAGTGCAGATGTGCAAGTTCTTTCTACAGAAACGGTGTCGATTTGGTAGTAGTTGCCGCTTATCACATGGTATGTTGACTGTTGTGGAGAAAATAAAAAAATAAAGTTGGACAAACTTGGAATGTTCCCTTTATTTCTTTCTTTCTTCCTTCTTATTTTAACTTCTAATTTATTTTGTTGGGTCCTTCGTCCTGTTGGTGTATCGTGCTCAATAATGAGGCGTAAGTGATAACTGATAACTGACGCTAGCCTTCTTGATGACCAATGTTTGAGTCTGTGTTGCTTGAATTTCTTGAAATCAACGCAAAATATTTGACATTTTTTGGATAAATGATAGATTCATTCACCTCCAACTTTTTCTTCAGCCATCTTCAAAAGATTTAGGTTGTGCATTGAATATTCTTATCTAAAAATTGGATCTTGATGGAAAAAAAGAAACGAGTTCTTATACATATTCTTTTCAGGCATCGACGTCCCATTATCTTCACTAAAAACGTACAAATCCACTACATGGGAGCAAACGCTGGTGGGTTCCACCATATGGGCCCTCCCGAACCCCAAAAGCGGTGGCATCTGGAGAGAAGCTGAGCTGGAATCATGGGACGATGAACTAAAAACGGGCCAGGTCATTTTCCGAGATGACGGCAGTTCGAAAAATCTCGAACCCGAATCCATCACGCTATCCGAATACGCTGAGGTAAGCGGCGGCGAAGAAGAAGAAGAAACCGACACGAATTCCGACCAATCGGATTCGAGCGAGTACGAAGAAGAAGAAGAAGAAGAAGACAATGACAGCTGGCAACAAGGTCTGGGATTTCTAGAAAGCACTAATTCGCGGAGAGGTGTCCAAACCGAGACAGCTATTTTCGCCAAGTGGGAAAATCACACGCGAGGGATTGCTTCTAAAATGATGGCGAGCATGGGATATCGTGAGGGTATGGGCCTCGGTGCATCCGGGCAAGGTATGGTGGACCCCATCCCCGTAAAAGTACTTCCACCTAAGCAATCTCTCGATTACGCGGTTAAAAATAATAAAAAAAGTAATAGCGAAAATAAGGAGAGTGGTGTAAAAAAGAAGCGGACGAGGGGCGGCAAGAGAATACGGGACAAGAAGATGGCGGCCAAAGTTAAGGCGGCTCGGGATGAAGAAGATTCGAAAGATTTTTTTAGCCTCATCAACAGCCAGCTGGCAGCCCATGGTTCAGAGAAGAAGAGGAAAAAAGAAGTGGATGAAGATGATGTATTCAAGAAAGAGGATAGGCGGGCCTTGCTGGCCCGTGAAGACGAGGTGAAAAGCCTTAGAGCCCAAGCCGAAAGGTTGGAGGAGATGGTCCAAAGGAATAGGAAAGAGAAAGTCGTGCATGATGCGGCCATGAGGAAGCTGAACGAAGTACGAAAAGCTCTTGCGGATGCTGAGGCGGCTCGTGCTTCTACCTCGAGTGCAGTGTCTAGGAAGGAGAAGGAGAAGAAATGGCTCAAATTTTGACAAGGCTAAAACAATTGT